CCTCTAGTGATCATGTCTTGCATAATGGCCGCTAGCGGAGGCCTCATGTTCGGTTATGATGTTGGTATTTCAGGTAGGCATTGTGGAGCTTTTCATATCATTCACGTAGAATTAATTAACTAATTTTTTGGTTAAAAGTTAATTAGAATTCTTTCTTAATTTAATTATAATTTGATACATGTGATCATTGTGATGGATGCAGGGGGTGTTACATCCATGCCTCCTTTCCTGAAACAATTCTTCCCGGTTGTTTATAAGAAGACTCAAGAGACTGGACTTGAGAGCAACTACTGCAAATACGATAATCAAGGCTTGCAGTTGTTCACATCTTCCTTGTACCTCGCTGCTTTAATTGCCACCTTCTTCGCGTCGTACACAACCCGAGTCCTGGGCCGAAAGCTAACCATGTTTATTGCTGGGGTTTTCTTTGTAGTCGGAACAGTTTTTAATGCTGCAGCTGTTAACCTTGCCATGCTTATCATAGGGAGGATCTTGCTTGGTTGTGGAGTTGGTTTTGCTAACCAGGTACATAATTATTTCCTAATCTGATCTTAATCTACTAAAATTGCTTTTTCTATCACATGCTAGGTTTTACTAATTAATGAATATAATTACAGGCAGTGCCGCTTTTTCTTTCGGAGATTGCACCCACAAGAATTCGCGGGGCACTTAACATACTCTTCCAGCTAAATATCACCATTGGCATTCTTTTCGCAAATCTTATCAATTATGGAACTGCCAAGTAAGCCACCATCCTCCCTAATATTCCATTAATCACCGATAATTAGACACGAGTGATTAATTAATGTACTTTTTCTGGCACAGAATTGAAGGGGGATATGGATGGAGAGTGTCACTAGGTTTGGCTGGCATTCCGGCAGGTTTGCTGACTGTTGGGTCTCTCATTGTGGTAGACACACCTAACAGTTTGATCGAACGAGGTAAGTTGGAGGAAGGAAAAGCAGTTCTTAAAAGGATTAGGGGTGTTGACAATGTGGATCCAGAATTCTTAGAGATTGTGGAGGCAAGTCGTGTGGCA